AGAGGTCCTCGAGGAATCGAGAGGCTGATTGAACCGAGGTAATCGAGTTGCCTTGGAAGAATTTAATTTTTCTATACATCCACTTTGCCAAGTTATAGGTTGGGCTGCCATTAAGGGCAACGATTGGCCGAAGTGGAACATTCGGTTTGTGAATTTTTGGTAGCCTATAAAATCTCGCCAGAGCTCGAAAGCTCACGAAGAAATAAATTTCGTTCCAGTGTTCGACCTTTTGTTTCCTTTACCAATAAAATGTTTCAGTTCTGACCTATTCTTTGATACTAATGTTTAATAAATTTGATTGTAATCTTAACACAGGTCTTCTCTGACGTCTGTGAATACCGTGTAAGCTCAAAGGGCGGAGACGGCACAACCGCCTTGCCTTTCCCACCGACAGCGCAGACGAGCTACGGACCAACTGAAAAGGCTGTGGAATATGGGGTGGAAACCTTACCGCGCCAACTGCATCCCTTCCTTAAGAGTCCAAAAGGTTTCGTGGAGTTGCGCTTCATCGCCAGCGAGCCGGTAAGTCCTCGCATATATATTATTATATTGAATCGAATAAGAAGAAAACAATATACATTTGTTGAAGTTCTTGAAGCATTCACTACGATGGGTACATCCTGAAAGACAGATCGGTGAACAAGTAACTACTATATACTCCCGATCAACAATCATCAAGACAGCGAATTAGTGGCTCAATGGTTATGACGTTTGCCTGTGACTGGCAAGACGCGAGTTCGAAACTTGACTGTGGCAGTAATTTCAGTGGCTACACTAGAGTTGGCTTCCCTTAGCGGAAGACGGCCAATAAAGCTAGAAACAGCTATCCTAGGGTGCTTGATTTTGCCGGAATACTATCGAATATATTTGTCTATATTTTGAAATCTTCAAAGGCTATCTGTCCGTTTCAGTCAATATCGTATTGAGATAGTTATTTGAGCACCCTTTTCTCAACTGAATGCATTCAGTAGTAACCAAACAGTATTTATCATCTGCTGGTCAATCATTAAAAACTTAAATAACTACCATCATTTATTTCCGAATGCTTGTGAAGTGCAGTTAAATTCCGGTCTTTAATTAAGGTTCACTGGTGGGGCTTCGCATATCTTGTTATGTCCCATGAATTTGTGTTTGAATGCAGTAGTGGCATATTTTAATCATCTATTTAAATAAAGAATTGTAGACCAGGTCATTTAAGTCAAACACTAAGTACTAGCTAACAAATGACCGACATTTTGGAGAGGAGGGCAATATTTATGTTCTAGCTCATTGATATTGTACCAAATGATACACAATTCTGTGCCGTCTATATTGCTTTTTATATTAGATGGATGGGGAAGATACTACTTAATGTTAAATTTAGAAAGCTGAACCACAATAAGGAATCACATTCCCTCCATTGAACGAACAGGTAACAGGACGCTTCTACGTAGATGTAACCTGGTTAACCATACATCACTTACATACTAAAAGACGGGAAGTATGACCCTAGGAATAATATCTGACTGTAAGCGTTCCTTCCTAGGGGGAAGTAAACTTCTTCTGCAGTTACGTCCTTGGCGGTATTTTGGATTATTCATCAATATAAAATAAAAATACTCAAATACAACTACAAAATTCAAATCATGTAGTTCCTTGTATGCATGTCTTTATCTTATGCCCTTCAGGATGGCAAGATTCCTCGCCTGACAGCACGTCTCCGGTCCGTCTCCGTGAAGGCCGAGTACATGGAAGACTGCATTCTTCTGCGCGATATCGAAGCCTCCCTGCCCACCACAGGGGTGTCTGTGCTCACTGGCACTGGGCCGTGCATTCCAATGTCTGTCCTGAATGCTTACTTGCCGGAACCCGGAGAGTACGCGCTCGAGGTGTACGCGGCACCGACGGACACGGATGAACCCACGGCCTATCATTTGGTTAGAATACAATCTTGCATTATTTAAAAACTCCATAACGTCGAACAGCATTAATAGGCTTCGATTGCCCTAGATTTAATCTAGTGTCTTGAAGAGTATCAATGCAAGTTTCAAACTGGTGTACCTCAGAATGCTGTTATGAGCCCTAATCACGTTATGTTTCCGTGAGAGGTTTGTACAAAATGGCCAAATAATTTATACTGAGGATTTTTAAATGTCATCAAGCATGTACATCAGATGCGTTTAAGCATGTTGCAGGTTAAGTAAGGGCACCGGTTGTTCAGCAGAATTTACAGAGGCCTTAAAGTGCTAACGTAGACAGTTGTCATCCAAAACTAAGTTGCGGTTCAGAAACGTACTCTAAAGATTTAAGACATTTCAAATTATATGCATAAGGTGGTTATTAGAGCAAATAGCCAACGTCCGACCAAATAAATACTTATAGAAATTAGGTACTTTCCAAAAAGTAAATACAAAATTGTAAAGTCAGTTACGATGAAAGCGTACATAATGTATATTCTTCTGGGGCAAAACAGTCGTCCATATCTTAAACCTTGATGCCATTAAACGCTGCCTTTGATAAAAACTAGTACAATGAGTACTAGTTGTACTTTTTAAATAAGACCTAATGCTCCAACATACCTTTGCTATATTTTAATCACCTAATGCAAAAGGGAAGTCCATTCGGGAAGAAATAATTACAAGATCAAAATAAATGATCTGAGATTATTATCTATCGTCTGTGCAATGCCGTTCAATTTTTGCCGACATTTCTTATGGTACTAATGTGACAGAAATTGAATACTTTTTTGAGGCACATAAAACATATCAAAAATAAATGCCACTAAAATACCAGAATGTTTTTAGATTCTTCAGTGTTGTTCCTCAGAAATAGTTCCCATTGGTTAGAGAAAACTGATACACGACAAAGTATACTTTTATTAATGTTTTGGTTAAGTAAATAATAAAGATATTTGACTTGAAAAAAAACAGCAGTAATATGAACGGAACTCATTAAACCAGTTTGGTTGTTGAACTTAGCGTATATCTATTTTATTGAATGAGTACCATCTGTGTGGTTGCCTATAAGAGGATGCAATCATTTAGTCCCTGACATTAAAATGTCAATTCAGCTTCTCCATCGCAACGGTTTTAAAGTTCTAAGCAACCTAAACGACTCCCAGTTAAAAGTTTGGGTTGCATTTCATCATGAAACACCCATAAATCCGAAACAATTCATCCTGCGTACTATCTTATTTAAAACTACTACCACCATTCCGATTAACTGTTTGGAAATAAAGAATTACATGCTATATTTAGAAATTCCTTATACGACTGATCGATACTGTCCTGAGCTTAGTCAGATAGCAAAACAACTGTCCTTAAATATTTAATGCTGTTTTCTGCAGCGACACTTCCTACTCTAAACTCCCGAAGAAGTGTTTTCTCGCATCAGTCCATTTTTAAGCAGGAACAGCCGTTGAGATTTTTTGCACAACGTTTGAACACTTTTTGTTAAGACCATTTTTCTAAGATGTAGGAAAAGAAAGACGTGTCAAAGGTGATGAAAAAATGCTATCCGCAGGCATGAAATCGTCTTTAGAAGCTTTCAACACCGCGCAAACTGCGGCTAAAAAAATAAACCTGGAGACCGTTAATATGTCGAATAAAAAAGGTAGTGAGTAAACGAGCTGTCCCAGAGGAAGACCACTGATTTTCAATGCCGATAAATATACATTCCTAGTTCTTATTACTTATCCACCTAATAGTCTGCAATTTTGTTTCTTTTAGTAGAAACCAAAAATATATCGGTTTATTATACTAAATACTAGGCTCAGACATGAAAAAATGTCTTCTGTTATTTGAATTTCCAAACAAATAATATTATATGACGAATATGATAATAAAACTGTTAACTTTCTTTTCAAACCTGCAGCACTTCTTCAAAAGAAACAATTTAAACATAGAACAAATAAATTCGGGCATGTCTGTTTTACAGGAGATAACATATAGATTGTATCCAGCAAATGTAAGTAACAGATGTTACAGCTTCCTTAGCAGCGAATCGTAAAACGGTTCAATGTTCCTTAAAATGTGATGCACCAGGCTGTGAATTGTGGTCAAATAAATGCATCAGAGATATAAACACGACTTTAGCAATTCCTTTTTGTTTGTTTACTAGGTAAGAGAGATTCCTAGTACGTTGTATATGACCTGAATATTATCGTTAGCACGAAGTGTGCAAGGCCTACAATTTAGGGTTTTTAACTTGAACAGTTTAGTGTTATTTACATTTAGACAGAAAAAGCGATTTTTAACATTTTTATATCCCATCATAAAGGAGAAGAAAACTGTAAGATAGGTTATGCACATTTTTGGCTTACTCGTATTTTGCGGGTTACAGAACTCGGAAACGTAACTCTAATATCAGAGGTGGTTTTTTGCCCACTTCCAGGTGGCGCTCAATCCCGTGTCCCAACCGTAACTCATAACTATTTAGCCTAACTACAACCACACGGTATCGTTAAAACCATCTCTCCCACCAGTCACAAAACTTAAATTTAATGTAGGGCCAACTTTCATATGGAGTGCCGCCACCAGTAAGTAGTCCTATCATTGTTGGGGTGTATAGCATCTGATAATACTTGAGATTTTATCCAAATCATATCTGATATTAAGACCTGATCTTTAAAATTTGCTTCTATAGGGGGCGGATGTGTAATAATCAAAATAAAGAAATCTACAGTGCTTACCCCAGGAGACTTCCATGCTTTAGAGGATTGACAGCAAAGCTTTCGCCACATACAAGCACGGAAATACTTGTACAAGTTGACATCTAAGTGAGTTGGATTTATGCAGACTAATAAAAGTTGAAGAAGAGTACACTGCCATGAGGAAGATGGCAGGTTTTGGTTGCAATCATTTAGTCCCTGACATGGAAATGTTCTGACTTTCCCTACTCTAGCTTAACTTAAATATCACCTAGTAGAGGCTACTCAATCGATCTTATGGTGTGCGAATTGCAGCATTTTTGATATGGAGAGACATAACTCGGGCAGAAGTCGCCTAAAACTTACAAGTACCCTTTTATTTTTAACTATACTTCAAGGAATAAGAAAGGTATGGAAATAATCCACTATATGGTTGTTGATCTAAGCGTATTACGCTTCTTCTATATTTTATGGGATTTTAAATCTTCCTGAAAAGGAGCATCACATGTTTGTAGAAAGATTCCTTTTAAGGTACATTTAAAGTATTTTATAAATAAGGAGAAGGGAATGCAATTTAGCGGACAGCGGTCATCAGTTTGATTTTCTACAAGTGCTAATATTTCCTACGTTCATTTGCGAGTTTTTTTGTTTTATAAGCCTCACTGACAAAGAAATTGATGGAACACTTTATGCAATATTAAGGTACTATTTTAAGCCTTTAGTAAGATGTTTCCAGCATATTTTAAACGAATACGATAACAACTGTAAT